CAGGACGGAGTTCTGTGCCATAACTGGGGTAATGTTCGGGAAGACAGCTGTCATTTGCAAATGGTCGTACCTAAAGCTAGAGTACCGGATGTTCTACAGCTGTACCATAATGATTGTTCAGGAGGCCATCTAGGAGTTAAACGAACTCTACTGAAGATCCGAGAACGGTTTTACTGGGTCCACTGTCGAAACGATGTCGAGGACTGGTGTCGCAAATGTACAAGTTGTGCGGCTGTAAAGGGACCTCAGACTCGTAGTAGAGGTGCATTGAAGTTGTACAATGTTGGTGCACCATGGGAGAGAATAGCCATTGACGTGGCGGGGCCGTTTCCGGAGAGTGGAAGCGGTAACAAGTATTTCATGGTTGTGATGGATTACTTCACTAAGTGGCCAGAAGTCTTCGCCATTCCAAATCACGAAGCTTCAACAGTTGCAGATAAACTAGTTTATGAAGTCTTCTGTCGTTATGGAGTACCTTTAGAGATTCACAGCGATCAAGGAAGGAATTTTGAGTCTCAAATATTATAATAATAATAATAATAATAATTTATTCAGATAGAAAGTGATACAGAGTAGGAGTCAAACAATGCATCTTATATACTAAATATGTTCTTAAAAATGAACTTGCTTCCTAAGTTAGGGTAAACCCTGTGTTTTAGGTTAAGCAAAGCTCTTCCCACTTACATAAAACCTTAAATAAGATACACAAAATATAATGAAATAATACAAGTGACACAAAAAAAAAATAGATCCTTAGAATTTAAAAGACATGCACAGATGAAAAAAAAAATTTAGCAGAGAAGTAACGAATTGACATCTATGAACACTTATGCAAGTACTGTTAACAAATTCTCCGTTTCTTCATAAGACTTTAGTTGAAGCCATTTTCTGAGGGCAATGTTGCAGTCATGCTTATTCATAGAGTATATATGAACAATTTTGTTTACTTTATTATATAAATATGGGCCAAGAAAGCAAAAATATTTTTTTATAAATTTTGTGTTGGGCTTAAAACTGGACTTAATCACAATGTCTTTACGACGTTTACATTTGATTTTGTCAGGGTCATAATTTATACACTGATGCTGTTTTTTTATAACATTTAGAACAAATAGTTGGCGAACAGTTAGTACTTGGCAGTTATTGTAGAGTAATATTGTAGGATATTGAAATGGTTTAAAAGTGGAGACCTTTAAAAGCGCTCTTTGAGCCCTTTCTAAAGAAACCATGTGCGTTTTTAGAGCCCCACCCCAACAAGAAATGCAATAAGTTAACAAAGATTCACACAGAGCAAGATACAGCTGTTTCAAAAGATATGGTTGCACTACATGTCTTAGATTTTTAAAAACATATATAAGTTTGCGGATACGATTTTTTAAATGTTGAATATGGTGTTCAAAAGATAGATTTTTGTCTAGAAGGATACCCAAATACCTGACAATCTCAACTCTTTCCAATAACGGACATCGGCAGGAAGTGAGAGAGCTAGGATTTTTTAAAATACAGCTATGTGCACGTAGAGAGAAATCGTTTCCTGGTTGCGTCACATCACGAATGGAAAAGGTCAGATATTTGGTTTTCTCCGCATTTAAAGTTAATTTATTAGAGCACAACCACCTTTGTACAGTATTAAATGAATTTTGGGCAGCTTCAAAAGTTTTTTTCCAATCACCCTCTGCAAAAAGTAGCACAGTATCATCTGCATAGCAAATAGACTTTCCAGAGATGAGCTTCATTTGACAGAGATCATTAACATAAATTGTGAATACGGTGGGCCCCAGTATACTGCCCTGAGGTACACCGTAGGTCACTGGTAAATCTGAACTCCTGTGATTACTAATTTTAACACTTTGCAATCTATTTTTCATGTAACTCTTAAATAAATTTAACTGCTTTCCACGTACACCAAGCCTTTTAAGCTTTTCCAGCAAGATAGGCACAGAGACCGTATCAAAAGCTTTCGCTAAATCTAGAAAGATCGCTAAACATCGTCTGCCTTTATCCAAATTTTCTGATATAAACTTAATTACGTCATGCATAGCACCATCTGTGTTTTTGCCAGATCTAAAGCCATATTTGTTTTTAGCGAGTAGATTGTTCGTCTCTAAATAGTTGATAAGGCGTTTATTTATTATTTTTTCTAATAATTTGGACATAGCCGGGAGTAAAGCTATAGGTCTATAGTTAGTAACTTGATCTCTGTCCCCCCCTTTGTGTATAGGGATTATAATAGATTTTTTAAAAGCTTCGGGAAATACACTATCTTCCAAGCACCTATTAAAAATATGCGTTAATATCGGTACAAGTATATTTTTATTATTTTTTAGAAAAACATTTGAAATATTATCCCACCCAGTGGAGCAATTGTTTTTGAGATTCATGATAAGTGATTCAATTTCAGATTCATCAGTATTCAACATAACGAAAGAATTACTAGAAGTCGACATGTCGCTTGAGTCGGTTAAATGATCAGTATCTGCGGTTTTTTCAGCTAAATGTTTTCCAATGTTAACAAAGTAATTATTTACACTATCAACAGCTAAGTCAGCTGTTGCATAAGACTGCAACAGTTCGTCAGCCGATGATTTAGGTTTATTAGTATAGGTTATATTTTTTAGAACATTCCAGAGCTTCCTTTTGTTATTACCAGCACCTAAAATTAATTCACTTTCATACTTTCTTTTAATATTTTTAAGTAAGTTATTACAAAAACACTTATACCTTTTGTAAGTTATTTGTATGGTGTTGTTGTTTGGGTGTTTTTTGGCTTTCTTAAAAAGGTTAACTCTATTTCTAACACATCGAAGTAAGCCTGATGTCATCCAAGGTTTGATAATCCTAATTCGGTTGGCGTATATACAAATATCAGTGTTTTTGTTATGTAGTTTAGTGATTATCTCAATTAACCGATTTACGGCGACGTCAGGATCATCAATATCATAAATAAAACTGAAATCTGAGTTTATCATATCCTTATTGAGGTTAGAGTGATTTAATTTAGAGTAGCTGTTAGTTTTTGGTTGAGAAGTGGGATCGAAATTAAGACAAAGTAAAACAGAGCTGTGGTCGGTAATATCAGACTGGATGATCAACGTTAGAGCGGGCTTTTTAGTTTTTAATAATACGTGATCGATACAAGTTTTGCTAACAGGTCTAGTAATCAAATAATGTGCTGGCATAAGACCATAAAATGCCGTCAAATTAAGATATTTTTCTGTATGTGTATCCATATTACTCGTTGAGATGTCGAAATTTATGTCTCCCATGATAACGACATTTTTAAACAATACCACCGATTCTAACACTTGTTCCAAAGAGATGATAAATGAATCTGGGCTATTATTTCTTGAAGGGGAACGATATATGGCAATGATTGCGAGATCTACTCCTTTTTTAATTACTAAACAGCTTGCGTCCGTAAAATAAGGTTCCTCAACCGTGACACCGAGACTATTTCTTACATAAACTGCGACACCATCATTTTGGTTAAAACATTTTTTGTTAGTATATCCAATATAATTGTCTAAAGTAGGGATATTTGGGTTACATAATAGCCAGCATTCGGTAAGTATAATTATGTCGCAAACAATTTTGGTTCTTTCCAAAAGCAAAGCAAAATTATCAAAATTACAACCTATACTTTGTATATTTTGAGTTATAATTTTAAGGTAATTTTCAGTTTGAGGCACATGTGATTGGCAAGAGTCAACGTCTATTGAAACTGCTCTAGATACCTCAATGGAGTCAAGATCACCAAAAACTGCTAATTCGTCGAAAACGCGTAAAAGCAATATAATGAACCGTAATCTTTGTATACCTCTTCGATATTGAGATATAATGTGTGACTACAGAAGTTAGTTAGATATTATAAAAGTGACTCAAGCATTAATAAATAAAGGTCCCTAATTAAATCACAGTTAATCGAAATGGCTTCCTCATTATTACATTCACGTCTTGGTATCAATCTAAAACAGCACTCATCGTAATTAAGTAAATTAAGCCCTTGACAGGTATATTCCTTAAATTCCATATGTACAATATAAAAATAACTTTTTAATAAATTTTGTACCTGCACCATTGCAAAATTAATACAATTTTCATACAAGTCCAAAAAAACAATATGGGATGTGTTATCACCCGTATAATAAAAGATATAAAATTTTAACAGTTTTTGTAAGAAGCATGCATCATATAGTAGTTTATTATAGTTACTTAGATATTGAGTTTTTGAGACTCTGAAGTTCCTTCTCATGGTCCACCCGTACATAAGGTTGTTTCTCGTCCTTACGCAGATAGATAACGCCCCTCGAGGTCCAACAGTACGTGAAATTATATTCCTTGGCAAATTCGCGGGCAACAAAAAATAATTTCTGCGTTTTGTGTGTTAATGCCTCAGAAACATATATTGGCTTACTAGTACCCGGTAAATTTAGGTGACTTGTATTAAGCTTTTCTCCTTTTCCCTTATTACGATTAAATTCTTTTATAGCATTTAATAGGGCTTCTTTTTTTATGACGCTGTTTAAGTCCAAAATAATAGGACGAGACGTTTCATGTTTGGAGAGTATGCGATAAACATCCCTTATATCTGATTCTTGAAGACTGCAGTTCACTGCCTTCGCCAAGATCTTGACAATATCGCATAAATCAGTTTTGGACTCTGGTCTATTATTCTGCTGATAAATTCTTGGCGTGTTTCGTATTTCTACAGCTGTAGCTCGTGATCTCTTTTCCAAAAGCTCAATTTTGTCCTCCAAAGTCTGAATTGTTTTTTTGTCGTTTAAACGTTCTTCCTCCATCGTTTTTAATTTTTCTAATAAGTGGTCATACTTTTCATTCATAAAACTCAGACTTTTTTTGCATGTCACAGTTTTGATCGGCGATTTGATTTACTGAAACATGCAGTGCTGCAAAGCGCTTTTCAATTTTAGTAGAGAAGGACGAAAATAAATCTTCTATAAAAGATGTAGTGGACTGAGAAAATTCTTGGCTGCCGCCCTCTAGTCAAATTTACGCTTAACGCGTTTCGTTACAATATCGTCGCACGCTAAATCATTAAGTGACAGAGCCGTACGTGTAAGTTGCGACGGTGAGTCACGAAATTGATCTGTACTATGGGCCGCAACGGCGTCGGATTCGCCGCTTGTCTGAATGAACACCGGGGAATTCATCGTAGCGGTAGCGGGGCCGACGGGGGGCTGCAACGCGGAGCGGGCCCGTTGCGTTGCGGAGGCGGAGGTCTTGGGAGGCGTGCGCCTGAGAGACATTGTTGATTGACGGGTACTAGGCGCGCAGAACTCAGATAAAGTAGTATGAATCGTGCGTAGCTTCGTAGCAGTACCTAGGAGCCGTCTCGTAGCACGCTACGACACTTTTGATGTTTGCTACACAATGTGCGGGACTAGAACAATACGACACAATACTTTCGGACACTTCTCAGATTATGCACTCCTAGTATCGCACCGCGCCCTTAAACCACTTTAAATTTAATTATTTGACTAAATAAAATTAAAATAAATCGGATCTTGTGTACACGAGCACTCTGTATGCGGTCCGGAAGGGAATTCCAGGAAACTTGCCGAGTTATGGGTACTCATAAAACAAGAACGACTTCTTATCACCCGCAATCTGATGGAATGGTAAAACGATTTAATCAGACATTGGAGAGGTACCTAGCAAAAGTTGTAGACAATCGGCAACGAGATTGGGACAAGCACATACTACCGTTTTTGTTGTCATATCGAAGCGCTGTTCACGAAAGTACATCAGTGACACCAGCTTTCGCAAACTTTGGAAGAGAATTACGGCTGCCTGCAGACCTGATCACCGGGATACCACCTGATGCCCCACGCAGTATAACCGATTATGCAAATGACTTGCGGAACAAAATGAATGAAATTTATGAGCACGTCAGATAATCGGACCAGCAAAATGAAAACCCGGTACGACCGCAAAATGAACAATAAAGGCTTCGACGAAGGTTCACTAGTGTGGTTGCACAATCCAGTCCGCAGCAAAGGAAAATCTCCTAAGCTTCAAGCTAAATGGGACGGCCCGTACCGGATTGTAATCAGGATCAACGATGTAACCTACCGGATACAGAAAGGCGCAAGAGGGACTCCTAAGATCATCCATGTGGATCGTTTGGCGCGTTATTATGGGGCCGACAATGCTCGGGACGAGCATGTCTTAGGAGGGGCCAATGTTGCGCGAATAAATCGATGTCATGTATTCGGAACTAGCGCCATCTAGTGTCAGGGACGAGAGCGAGGGGAGCTTTCCAGAAAATGACATCACTCATCTTTCAACCGACAGCGCCATCTAGTCTCGGAACGAAGAACTAAGCTTCTAGAAGTCGGTACTCGAACTCTCGGCCCCTTGCGCGTGTTTACTTGAATATTCTGGATGTTTCGGTGCTAATTTGTATTTATAGGCGCTGCAAGATGCGATGGGGGAAGTATTAAATTTGGCGAGACAAGCGAAGCTTCGGAGCGAAATAAAGTGAATCAGTGTGATTAATTATTGGTGTTTTCAGTTTTAATTTGTGTAAAGGAAATTAAAGTGTTAATTTAGGCAATTCTATCGGCAATTTTTATTGTCACGAACCTCAAGCTCGTAACAGTACTAAGTCTGATCTGACCTATGGTCAAGCCAAAGAGTATAGTAGGTTTGGCAAAAGACAATTTTTTAAATGAAGGTAACTATAACTTAGTCATTACCATGATCTTATCCAAAAATAAAAATTATGAACAATTAAAATATCGAATTATTTGTATGAAGGTCACGTGAGCGCTAGAGAAACGATTTTAGGACGTTGTTGACAAATAAAATGTTTAATAAAATAGTACAGTAAAAATATAATTTAATATTGCACGAAATTTCCGATTGAATTTTATTTTTTTATGAGGTTTAGGATCACTTATTCAGTATAAAATCACAAAATGCCGACAGATCCAGGTGGCGCTTCAAGCGCAATCTTGAAAAAACGTTTTCAGTCGATATCTCGGTAACTATGCACTTTAAGGCAAAAGTTATACAAATCATTATTGTAGAAAATAAAATTTTGCATCTTTTGTTTCCAGTAAATTTTTTTGTAAAACTTACCGTTTACGATTTATGGCCCATTTAATGAACAGGTGGCGCTTCAAGCGCCATCTTGAATAAACGTTTTCAGCCGATATCTCGGAAACCATGCACTTTAAGGCAAAAGTTATATAAACCATTATTGTAGAAAATAAAATTTCGCATCTTTTGTTTCCAGTAAACTTTTTTTTAAACTTACTGTTTACGATTTATGGCCCATTTAATGAACCGCTTTTTCTATCGTGGCCAATAACTTTTGAAATATTAGATTAATCAATAAAATACATAAATTTATTTTGAAAAATCAGTTTATTTTCCAAAACTTTTGATTGAAACTTTTTTTTTCTAACATTCTTACTTTTTGAGTTATAGGACGTTTCATGTTACGCATTGCTGCCCGCGTCACCCGCAGAGCTCGGCCGAAGCTCGGCATGACACGGCAGCTACTTTACGATTAAGAACCCGGATTTTATTGCTATTATTTCGGGGAATTCCAAGTAAGACCTCATTATTGTTTACTAACTACGACCACGGGTAATCTCTATACAAATATTCCTAGCCTTATGTCTATGGCCCTCAAAAATCGATGTTGACAGCTATTGACTACAAATGTATAAATATGTAGCTACGTATTTAGAGTGTCGTAGACATGTTTCAATCATTTATTTCTAGCGACCGAATCATTCTAGTACATTTCGTCCCGCGTACTGGTACATTTGGATCGATCATTCAAATGGATCATTTCAGGCTCCAGTAGGTACTCTGTGAGATCCATTGGGATCCGAAAATTTTAACATTTGCTACAAAAATTAAACATGTACCTATCTTATACTTATATATGGTGGTTGAAAATTATCATTAAATAAATCATTTATCATAAAATCTTTTGAAGTGTTATTATTAGTAAACTCTACGAAATGATATTTTAACTCATAGATTTAACAAATAAATATAATAAAATGTGAAATAATTTTTAATTTAGGTAACAATATTATAATTCAAAAACCCTTATATAATGAATACTCCTGATATAATTTTATATTATATATATAATATAATTTTAGATTATATTAATTTCAAAAACCCTTAAATAATGAATACTCCTGATACTCTGCAGTCTACATTGTTAATACGATTCGCCTGTTTATTCAGATCATTCTGGATTCTGTCGATTGCGGCTCATTCACCGCAGCCGCGCCGCGCCTTTTGAGAGGCCTATTTCCAGCAGTGGATTGTCGCAGGCTGATGATGATGATGTGTGCTACCGACACATTGTACCACGATTTGTTATCCCGAATAAATCTGGTATTCACCAGGGTCTAAGATCAAAGTAACTGCCCTACCAGAACGCATATCTCACGTTGTGGCTAATATTTCCAATATGGACCATCGATTTCAAAGCCCATATTTGTAGATAGTACTCACTAAAAGAAAGCGTTTTGCAAAGTTTTAGGTTGCGGAAACTTACGGTTCATGAGATATATTTTTTTAAACTTTTCATACAAATTGGTAAATAACACACAATTACAAAATAAATTTGACAAATGATTGATGTCAAACGTCAGTTAGTGTAGGGTTCCGAATATTTTGAAAGTATCTATACCTACTCGATACCAAGTATCGTATCAAAAGTATCAATACTACTTGGTATCGAGTACATTTCGTTAATTTTGGAGACGAAAAATTATGACAAACCAATTAGATGCATACGAAGAGCTGATAAGTGCAATTATATATGTATATAAAGTAGAATAAAGTTTACACTATTTAAGTTCCACCTTAGTACTTGTATTTCATTGTTTGCAACTTGTTTGTATTTCTTAATTAGTACAGCTTTTGTACTTTTATTTTATTGTTTGCAACTTTCTGTATTATCTAATTCTTACTACAATAAAGTGTTTACTTACTTATTGACTTACTTATTTAATATCCAAAAAGTACCCAAAACCGAATCAGAGCACCCCACTATCCACGTGGTCTTGTCTGCCCTACCCCTAGAGTGTATATAAGAGCCCGGAGGCGCGGAGGGAGAGTAGTGCCCGCCCGCCTTCGCAGCTTCGGACCAGCCTCAGCCGCTACGGCAATCTCGGTGCCTGCGCTTCCCTACGCTAGGGCGGAGGCACTGCTCATCCCGCAGCGCCGGAGCTGCCACGGAGCGTCGGAGCACAACTTCCCGGCTTCTTACCTCTCTAGTCTCCAAAATTAACGAAATGTACTCGATACCAAATAGTATTGATACTTTTGATATTTTCAAAATATTCGGAACCCTACACTAATTGACGTTTGACATCAATCATTTGTCAAATTTATTTTGTAATTGGTGTAATTGCGTGTAGATATGTGTAAATCACTCATTTCTAGCGACCGAATCATTCTAGTACATTTCGTCACGCGTACTGGTACATTCGGATCGATCATTCAAATGGATCATTTCAGGCTCCAGTACTCTGTGAGTCTGTGAGATCTATTGGGAACCGAAAATTTAAGATTTGTAATAGCGCCATCTACTACATGATGTAGGTAATAAAGTCATTTTATCGAATTAAACTTATTAACTTTCAAGGTGGTAAGGACAATCGACGCTAGATGACATAAACACAAAAACCTCAAGTTATCATATATTTTAAATATTTAATAAATATGCTTAATGTTAAATTTCATTCCTAACACTCTGTGAGTCTGAACATACACAATTTCATCTTACTTTACATGTCTAAAATAGGGATTGAAACATTTATTTGCTATGAAATTAAACTTTTACCTAACTTATACTTATATAAGATGGTTGAAAATTATCATTAAATAAGTCATTTATCATAAAATCTTTTGAAGTATTATTTTTAGTAAACTCTACAAAACGATATTTTTAACTCATAGATTTAAATGTAAAATGATTTTTAATTTAGGTAACAATATTATAATAAAAAAAACCCTAAAATAATAAATACTCCTGATACTCTGCAGTTTCTGTATATATTCTCCGCTAGGAGTAATGGTGTTCTGTGTATATATTACTCTACTCTATGCTCTGCAGTCTGCATTGTTAATTCGATTCGCCTGTTTATTCAGATCATTCGGGATTCGGTGGGTTTGCGGCTCATTCACAATTCAAACAAATCGCGGGTTAAAAAGGTACCGTCAATTGTTTGTGATTGGTTGTACTGGTACATTCAAAAACAAATGA